CACACACACACACACACACACACACACACACACACACACACACACACACACACACACAATATAAAGGAGTCCCAACAACACAAGACCCTTAATTCAGGAAATGTGATTAGAAATATGTTAGCAAGTGAAGTTAATCGCATTTGACGCGTTTAATCGTTTTAGCTGAAATGTTCGGCCCAAGTTTGTTTTTTTCCTATTCTGTTTTGCACATCACTGAGCTGTAAATTGCGGAAACCGGTGGGTTTTGTGAATCTGACAGTGAAACGTCTTGCCTTCAGCTCTCCTTTGCAAACCATCTCCAATGATTAGACATTAGCAGCCGCAAGATTCTATTTCCAGCTTTGAGAGGAAGCAAAACCAATCAGAGAAAATTACAAGAAAACAAACCAACTGTTTTTAATGTGCCAGAAAAGTGATTCTAGCTTTTTAAACATTTGATTGGACACATAAAGTACAGTGCAAAAAAGTTATTATCATTATGGCTGTCTGTCTTGACTATGTACATTTCATCAGTGTACTTGAAAAATGAAGAAAGTGGAAAAATGGAGAGGAAGGTCAAGTATTTACAAAAAAACTACTAAAAAACATCTGAAAGTTCTTCTTTTTTTTTAGCAAATAGAAATGAAAATCCAGCAAATCATGACCAAACTTATGGGACACATCATCCATTAGAAGATAAGTGGTAAAGAAAATTGCTTTTTTATTTATAGTTTTATGAGTCAAGCTGAATAAAATCTTCAAAAAAACTGAAGTTTTGAATAAGATTTTTGTATTACGAGATTTTGTTTGAAACAGAAAAATGCTACTGTTTGGTATTTTTCATCAAATAGAGGATTTTGGCAAAATGGCATTATCCACTGTATGGTATTATCAGTTACTCTATAAGCAGCCCACGTGGCCTGTGTCCAGAATATGCTACAAGTGGTTAAATTCAGTTTGACACAATTTGCCCTTTTAAGTTGAAGAGAACTGCAAGTGATCTACTGATGATGCAGTTAAAGTTAAACAAGCCGCGCTTCGTTATTTTCAAAAAGGGAGAAAAACTGATTAATAAAATCACATACGGCCACAGTTATAATTCATATCCATGACGGTTTTTACAAGGTTGTTTTTATAGTAAAATATCATCGGACAAAGTAGAATGTGGCGTTTTTTGGTTTATTTTCACAACAAAAGTACAGAAAGACTTGGATACACAGCACACACACACATAGACACACACAAACAGAGCTGCTTGTCAAAGGCAGGCTAGGCAATAGTGTAATTTGAGCACAAGAAACTGATTCAAGGTTGCAGAGAAATATTCATTCAAATGAAGCGGAGAGAGCGGCGCAGCATAAGAATAACTCGCTTTTAAAGATTAACATAACCCTTGGAGGTGTTATTGTATCCCTATAACCAAGTCGAGACTCGAGCAGGTGCAGAGCAGCTCTCCCTCTCCGTTGAGTTACTGCTTTAAGTCCATCAAATTTCGTAGCACAATCATGAGCCTCCTGTTCACTCTCTGGAGCTGAAGAATTGCTTTGCATTTTAAAAAGGTCAAACACTCAGATCTCCGCCAAGAGGAACTGAGGGAAGAAATAATGTCTCTTTGCAGAAATATGCAGTCACACACCGCTGATCCCCTCAAATACTCACTGTATATTGACCAGATTAGATGTGTGTGTGTGTGTGTGTGTGTGTGTGTGTGTGTGTGTGTGTGTGTGTGT